TACGCCAGACCGCGTCTTGTCGAAACAGGCTTCGCGATGTCTCGCTGCCTGTTCCTCCAATCCACGCCTGGCGTACCTACCTTGGCCTGCGGCGCTAGGCTGCCTGCGGCAGGCAATGGCTTGTCCGTTGTCGGTTATTTATTAACTTGTTTAATGCTGGGGGGCCCCGCCCCCCAGACCCCCCTACATTCTAAATAGAGTTGTTTTATCTACAGATAACACGATCTTGACCCTTGTCACTTTTTAACTTGTCGAGGCTGGGGGGCTCCGCCCCCCAGACCCCCCTTTCTTCAAGACAGAAGTGGTCTATCTGCAGAAATCTCTACTTTTCGCCGTTTTTCAGGTGTTTTTCGCCTATAAAAACTGAACCAGTTGAGCTAGGATGGTGAAATTTCGCGTGTGCCGAGCCAAGGACATACCTAAGAAGTGTGCAAAATCTCACCGAGATCGGCCGAGCCGTTCAGGAGGAGTAGTGCGGACAGACAGACCGACAGACAGACCGACAGACAGACAGACAGACCGACAGACAGACAGACAGACAAAACTTTTCAACCCCACTGGAGTAACAGGCTTCGCTATCGCTCAGCCAATAAACGAAGGTTCCCTGTAAATTTACGAAGGATCTTTGTAGATTTACGAAGGTGCTTCGTAAATTTCCATCGTGATTGGAAAATCAGCAGAGATCTTTCAAAAAATTAACGAAGGTTTTTGTAAATATACGAAGAGCTTCGTAAATTAACGAAGGAACCGTTGGCAATTTTTTTGCCGAAGGACCCGTCGTTTATTCCGGATATTAATTTTTACAGTGAATCTTGTATGCCCGAACATTGAATGTGGTTGCCTCCTCAGATTGGCGCAAATCCCTAAGTAGATGATGACTGCAGCAGACAAGACACAGCCATCAATTCAGGTTTGCAGTCTGAGCACTGTTTGATGTAGTTGCTTACTCAAACTCTACAGGTTTCTTTGCGCCTAATATAAAATGTTACTGCATCGTGTTTCATTGCACCACGAAAGAATGCTTTGTAATACAGAAGCCGTTCTTTGTACAAAATTTTGTGTGCGCAGGTGAAACGCAAAGTGCCATACCTGCATATCGAGTTTGACTTTTTCCTTGGCTTCGACATCGGAATAGGCTTCGATCTCCGCCTTGTTGTCCATGTATCTTTCAACGCAGGGCGCCGTGTCGATGCCATTTTTGATGAATCTGGCAGCGTAGTCGTTCAATTCATCTGTGAACGCCTTGGTGTAGGCACGCACGTCCTCTACGGCTTTCTTCATCGCTTTTCCTTCCCTGTTAAAATGAACAGCGTCTTAAAACAAAAGAACAACGATGACCGACCCTCAGATTTATATAAAACAGACCGATTTAGGTTACTTATTGGCTGAGCGATAGCGAAGCCCGTTACTCCAGTGCGGTTGAAAAGTTTTGTGTGTCTGTGTGTGTGTACACTACTACTCCTGAACGGCTCAGCCGATCTGGCTGAGATTTTGCAGGCTTATTAGGTATGTGCTTGGCTCGGCACACGCAAAATTTCACTATACTAGCTCAACTAGTTCAGTTTTTATAGCCAAAAAACACCTAAAAACGGCGAAAAATCGAGTTTTCTGCTGGTAGATCACCTCTGTCTTGAAGAAAGGGGGATCTGGGGGGGGCGGAGCCCCCCAGCCTCGACAAGTTAAAAAGTGACAACGGTCAAGATCGTGTTATCTGTAGATGAAGCCACTCTATCTAGAATTAAGGGGGGTCTGGGGGGCAGCAACACGTAAGAAGTATCCGACGGTGGACAAGCCAATGCCTGCCGAAGGCAGGCTAGCGCCGCAGGCCAAGGTAGGTACGCCAGGCGCGGATTGGAGGAACAGGCCGCGAGACATCGCGAAGCCTGTTACGACAAGACGCGGTCTGGCGTAAACCTACCTTGTATAGTTTGGGTCACGGCCCTGAACAATTTGAACTTATCCAACAGATGTCGAAAATTGGTCAAGGCCGAGGGGGCAACCCTCTAGAAATCTTGTGTCCAATCTTGTGCTCAAGAGCTCACTGAAAACGTAATGGTCGGACAAATGGCCAAGAAGTCACGCCAAAAACTGGCGTGACACGAATTTCACGCCGATAAACGGCGTGACACGTGAGTCACGCCCTTATTGAGCCTGAATGATAACGCGTTTTATGAGAAAAGTCATGCTAAAAAGCGGCATGACAAGAAATTCACACCAAAATTTGGCGTGAATTTTTGAGTCACGCCGATTTTTGGAGTGACTTTTCTGTCATGCCGTTTATTGGCGTGACGCTAAATTCACGCCCCTGCAACCGGCACGAAGTCACGCCGATAGATTTTCAGTAGCGCTAGAAATCTCTGGAAATCTGAAATCTTGTCCACAAAAAGGCCAAAAACAAGCAAATTATGAGGGTAATATGGGTAAAAATCTTGCGAAATCCGACAAAATCTTTAGCTGCAAGAAATCTTGTATCCTCAAACATCCAATGTGGTTGCCCCCTCGATCAAAGTAAATTGCGGCAGATTGACACATAACATGAGTTTACCACGTCCAGCCCAAAGAAAACTGGAAACAATATAATCCCCAACCTCTCTCCTGAGGTCAATTAGCCTTATCATGTCTGCAAGGTTCGAACGGATATGAATTTGTCTGCACTGCCTGTGGAGTGAGCCGTTAAGAGAGTGCGTGGTGCCTTTCAGAGTGGGGAATCGGAGGTGGGCGCTTGGGGGGTTTTAAACTGGATGCCAATCCAAGTGTGAGACAGTCTCAAACTTGTAGGTGTGGGACATTTTGTCTCACGTTTACAATTGTGAGCCACGTTTGTCGCACGCTTGCAAGTGTGGGACAACGAAGTCTCACACTTGCAAACGTGAGACACAGCTTGTCCCACACTTGCTACTTATGCTAGATCTGTGGTTCAATGCCACGGGTCCCACGCTTGCAAGGGCAGTACGAACCGTGTCTCACACTTGCAAGTGTGAGACAAACGTGGCTCACATGTACGCGTGAGACAAAATGTCCGACACCTACTAGTGTGAGACTGTCTCGCACTTCGATTGGCAGTGTACCAACAGCGGACTTTGAATTCATTTTCTGCGTCATTATGAGCAGGCGGTTATGCGACGATTGCCACTGCAAGGAAAAGTGTGAATAGTACCGTGAAACGGGGTAATTTCGGACACTCGGTGTAATTTCGGACAACTCTGCCCGGAAGCATGGCGATGACGCTCCCATCTAACGGCCAACTTGGAGGCTTGTCCCGTTGCGCGCATCGCATCGGCCACACTTGAAACCATCTGATCAATCACCCGGAGGCCAAATCAGGGGCAAACTTCAGGAGAAAGAGTGGTTTTTGTATTTAACCATTTTTACCTAAATTCGCTTTATGCTTAAAAACTTTGACTGGCAAGCCGAAACTGTTCATGGCCGGTTCATGAGGTGATTGTTTGTCGATTCGATCATGTTAAGAGCATACTGTGTCAAATTTTCAATCACCTGGGTCAAATAGTTTGGTTTATATGGGCTCAAAACTAAAAAATTGTTACTTTATGGGGTAATTTCGGACATACAAACGTCACGCCAGGGAGAGTGGGTATGTCCTGAACACTTTCTATTTCGCAGGGTTTGAGTGGTGGAAGCTGAAGAGCTCCTCTGGAAGTTGCAGATAATCCAATAACAACGATAATCCCCAATTGTTACAGCGGTTGCTTTATAAACTTCGAATTTCATAAAAATGGGACAAAGCTACATCTTTAATACTTAGTTTTATGTGCATATCCTACCTTAGTGTCAACGACTGTTCTGTGATTAATTTTTTTTCATGTAACATGAGAGTTAGTCTTGGAGAATGGCTGCATAGCTCGCCGGTTTACTACAATTGAAATGCAAAGCTTTCCACTGAGCCCCTGTATCTTCCTAACCGTACATACGACACGACTACTTGCCTTTCATATGCATGTATGTGATTGTATGTCTTGTAGAGGAAGATTTAAGATTCACTTTCGCGTAAAAATGTATAGCCCGAGTTGCCTATGAAAGCTAATCGGTCAAAAATTAAAAAATAGAAGCGTTCTAAATGGCTCTACCAGTTCCACCCACTATTCCTGAAATCGAGCTACATATGAGTGCAAAACATGACTTCAAATTATGTATGAATGACCACCCCTACCATAAAATCTTTACATCTAAACCCTTACGAATTTCTCATATAATCATATTAGCACTTTAGAAAGAGACAGTGATCGATTTTGGGACCAAAATCAGAACGAAAAGTCGTTTTTACCAGGGGTGTCCGAAATTACCCCAAAACACGGGGTAATTTCGGACACTGCTTCGGACCCTCCACTGTTAAAACGGTGAGGTGCAGATATTTGAAATAAACGCCAAATCGAAGCTTAAGGTGGGTAGATGATAAATTTTGACCCTTAAGTCCATGACAGCACCACAACTTTCACAACCTCAAAAAAACCTATCAAAAGTGTCCGAAGTTACCCCGTTTCACGGTACTACAAAAGTACACCCAAAAACTCTACAATAAAAGTTCAATGAAGATTGTAGAGAGAACAACGAGGCCTGGACTGCACAGCACTCATCATGCCGATTCCATTTAACTTTGTACAACTGTTGCACTTTGAAAGTACAATAAAATCATGATAAAAAATCGCCAGGAATGTATGTACTTTCGTTAAGTTTTTTTCTTGCAGTGTCATCAATGGCCGTCAGTTTGCAGTGCATACGCCAAGGTATGATATTAAGTTTTCTGTTCAGTTTGAATTATCTTTTCAACATGACATTGGTGTGAATGCTTTTCCAGTGTCTGAAATAGCAGAATCCTGTAAGGGCGGAGTTACTACGCACTGTCGGACACCTCACCCCCGAAACCGACATGAGCTATACTGCAAGGAAAGGTATGAATACTACAGCAAAAGTTCAACAGAAACTGCACACTAAAAGTACAACCAAAATTATACAAACGACAAGGAGGCCGTCCTCCCTGGCCTGGACTACTGCTCAGCATTCGTGACGCCGGTTCCAATCCTACTTTGTACAACAATTGTTGTACTTCGATAGTACAATAAATTCCTGACAAAAAATTTGCCAGGAATCCGTGTACTTTTGTTATGGTTTCGTTCTTGCAGTGTACTCTCAGACTTACTTGTCGGCTGCGTCTGCTTCTTCCACGAGCTGGTGGCTTTTAGCAACCTCCGCGGTGACAGTTTCAGTCGCTTGGCTAAGACGGGCCAAGAACTTCTCCCTGCTCATAACAGCCGGCGCCGGCGTCGTGGTAGTCGTTGTCGTCTTCCTGTCCCATGGCCACGCGTTCAGCGTCTGCAGACGGTAAGGACATAGGCGAATGGGCAAGTCTCGTCTCGGCACCGTTTTTAAGGGGGTCTTACACACTTTTTGTAGACCTCCGTGACTCTTTTCGTGCACTCTTCAGTGACAAATAGTTAAAAGCGAAAGAAAAACACTTTTTTCAAATATGTTTATTAAAAGTTACTGCACTGTAGATAAAAAAGAAACAGTACCGTTGATTTATCGTCAGAACTTTCCGTTATTTGATGCCAAAGACTTTCCGTGATTTCAGATCCAGGCTTTTGCCGTAGTTCGAAAGCCAGAGATTTCTGTATACTTCGCCCGGGGCTTTGAAAGGCTATGAGCTCAGGGTAGTGAGGGAGAGAATTTGGGAGGTGAGTTCGAGGGGGTAAACACGCGCGTATTCGCGCGTAATACCAGGGCCGGACTCGCTCATAAAGGGCCCCAGCAGGAAATTGTCAAAGGGGCCCTTGCTCTCCCCCCCCCCCTCGTAAGGTGAAATCCTCTAGATAAATAATTACGACAACCATGTGATTTCCCTGACTTCTGAAATTGTTGAAAAGGTAGATACACCCAGAGTTTGTTTCTGATGCTAGCAGCAAAAACACTAGCAGCGGAAATTGCGAGCGAAGCGATCTTCAAAATTTTTCTAATGCTATTTAAATTTCCTCCCAAAAGACGAAACCGAAACATGCAGTTATCTTTTAGTAAGCTGGTTCACAGCGAACTAAAACATTGTTGCAAGTTTTTCAGGAACTGACCTGGGTCTGCTAACAACTCATCGAGCTGATGATAGATTCGTTTCACGCGATTCCGCATTGCTATGCGAGCGAAGCGAGCTAAGAGCCAAGGCCTATTGTGTGTTCAAAATGCAATACCAGCCAGTTTGTGAAGGGGCAGTACTACGAACTAAAGGTATTTCGGGGCGATCGCCGGTGAAGGGGCAGTACTACGAACTAAAGGTATTTCGGGGCGATCGCCGGGGCCCCGGCATATTTTTCTGCCTAAATGCCCTTCACACAAAACCCGTGGGTTACACGTCACACGTGGTTACCGGTCATTTTTCCCAAACCCATTTTCCCAATAGAGAATGTTTCTAAAACTTTCATTCCCAATGTAGATTTCCCAAAGAAATTTTTCCCAAATCATTAATTTTTCCAAAAAAGTATTTTTTCAAAATATTTTTTTTAACTGAGTGATCGGTGCAGCTTCGAGTGTTGAGTGGCGTCTGGAGTGCGTAGGTACTCAGCTTCATGCACGTCAGGCTTCTCATAAACAAGCAAGTCATAATCAGTACTACACCTTTGAATAAGGACGTCACAACATGTTGGTGAGGATTTTTGTATTGCCTAAATTCGCGTGCAGGTCTCTTCGCTAAAACATCTAGCTATAGGTCGCAGATACGCCTTTTTTTCGCTTAAATAGCAAAAAGGAAACCTTTTGGTAATTGACTGAGAATACCTCGCCCAGACTTTGGTACTCATCAAAACCATCATTCACATAGTGTTCTTCCAGAGGCTCCTTACCACCATCTTTTCGGTCATTATGACCTTCGCCTGTTTCCTTCTAGAGCTCGTGGGCACGTAAGGAAATATTTTGGGAAAACTTTTGGGAGTAACTTTGGGAAACTAAAATTGGTAACAATGGATTGGAAAATATAGAATTGGGACTTTGATTTTGGGAAGGATTGCTTTGGGAAAAAGTATTTTGGAAAGTCAATATTTGGGAATTTATTTTTGGGAAAAAATGGGCGGGAACGCAGCGTAATACCGGTAACCATTACGCTGGACTACGGGATAGTACTCGGCAGTACGGCATAAACATGCAAACATTCGGCTCAAATGTGAATGGTGTTACTCTGTACACGATTTCTTGAAGTGTTTACCCCCTCGTCTCACATCAAAAAGGATTTGAGCCTCAGTGGGCCACTGTGGCAAAAAGCTACGGAACATTCTGTAAACAGCTTGTGGTAATTCTCCGTAGCCCCCTTGTCAGTATTCTCCGTAGGCTCTTACGGTATTTTCCGTAGGACCACACAGTGTTCTCTGTAGGAATATAGTCTTCCAGGTCCTACGGAGAAGACTGTAAGAGCCTACGGAGAATATTGATGAGAGGGCTACGGAGAATCCTGGAAAAAAAAAGCAACAGAATTTTCCGTACCTTTTTGCCGCAGTGGCAAACTGAGATAATGTGAGTTTTATAAGAAAGTGGCCTTGGCGGCTGCGAGGTAGGCACCCGCTGCCATTGAGGGTCGCAGGCTGCGTCGGAGGTCTAGCGGGGGTGTTTCGAATGTCGCGGGGGGTGCGACGGACCTGGCACTCTCAGACCTATATGGACTATTTCCTCTTGCTTATAACGTTTTTGAGCTAACCTAAAATGCACTATTTTCTCTCAACTATGCACAATTTTGTTCTTTATAATGATAAAATTGTCAATAGATCATGTAGAAATTACACTGTTAAAAAAAAATTCTGAAAATTCAGACTAAATGAACTGAAGAAAATTTCGCAAAAGGCACTCCTAATTTTCAGACCAACTTTTTCAGAAACATGCGGTCTGAAAATTCAGACCTGTGAATTCAGACCACAAGTCTGAATATGTATTAAGACCTCAAGTCTGAATTGATATTAAGACCGCTGGACTCTGAAATTTAGGAATTCGGTGAGCTTAAAATTGAGATGTCTTATTTCTTAAAAAAGGGCTTCCTGGTCTGAATTTGCTTTCAGCAGTTCACTCCCATACCCCTCGCCTCCCTCTTTGTGCGCAGTGCGGGGAAGGTATGAAAGTTGATCCAACCAATGCTTTAAGAAGGATGAAAATTGCTGTGGCTAGTAAAAGTCAATTTTGTAACCTTAAGGAACTGTCAAGTGAAACTTGCATGTCCTAGAAATATATGTCACAGGAAGTTCATTTTGAGGTCAAAACTCCACCACTAGATAAATTTATTCGCAAAGTTGGGGACTCCAACTCTAATTAGTTTCTGAGTTATGGAGGTTTACGTAAACTTTTAGTCGTTTCCTCCAAATTCTTCTCACGACAAAGGATTAGCTACCCAGTCTTCAGATTCTGGCAATTATATATATTTTTGCATATGAAGAAGAAAGAGTTGTCAAATTTGAAAAAAAAAGTCCAGAAGAGGCTGTAAAAGCTAACTTATCAGGCCCATTTTTATTTTTCTTCAAATTTAAAAGATTTTGCCTTATTATTGGTTTATGGTTTTTCAGGAAAACTAAGGGAGATATTTTTTAAAAAAGCAACACTATCTATTTCCTTTGCAAAAATAGATATAATTACAAGAATATGAAGACTGGGTAGCTAATCCTTTGTCGTGAGGAGAATTTGAGAGAAACGACTAAAAGTTAACGTAAACATCCATAACTCAGAAACTAAAATAAGGTGGTGTACAACTCTTAGTGCATGAGATAATGCAATGGAAAGGAACTTTTATCCAGGTTATGAGACAAGTATTTTTTTAAAAAAAGTTATAAAGTCACTTTGGTTACTTTAGTCATCATAACCATGAATTTCTTTGCTTATCATTGCAAAATCAACTCAAACCTTGTTTGTAACAATTAACTCACTGTGGCAAGCACACATCCAACACGCAACGGTGCACACGAAGTGAACGTATCAGATTCGCCCAACCAGAAGTTTGAACTGATATCCGATGAAGGCACTTTGGGGACGAGTGTGAACGGGGAGAGGCGAATAACTTAGAACACCTCTCGCCCTCTCACCGCCCGCCCCTTCAGTTTCGGGAAATGCGTACAGCGAGCGCAGAGTCACTACAGCGTCAAGAAGGGTCATCAGCAGAAAACACTTCGAACTAAAATGCACTTCTTTCCGTCGACATGACTTCAGCGCGCCGAGCGAGTGGACCTGACGCAAGTTAAACGCGATGTGTGCACCTTGGAAGATTGCTGGAGACTGATGTTTTGCGTGCAGGGCGCCGGCCAAAACTTTCCGAGTTGCCGACGGATTAACGCTCCCCTCCTTGCCGAGCCAATCAGAGGGCGCCTCCAGCCGGCCCTGCCTCGCCGGACTTTCCGAGAATGCACCGGCGGAGACAGTCCTGAGGCCGCTGCACTGGGCTCGGCTCGGTGCTCGGCGCTGCTCGGTGCCGAACGAACTCAGCCGAACAAGTCCGAGACAAACTAGATCGCTTTCGGGCCTACTAGCTTAGCTGGTCAAGGTGCTGCCAGAGCGCTATAAAGAGGGCTTCTCTGGGGCTCAAGGTGCTACCTTCGGGGCAGTCCGATTAAGGCAGCGTATGTAGAGAGAGGGGGCGGGAGTCAGACGAGTCGGGCAGAAAATTAAGACCGGGCGCTGAATTCTACTTTCAGACTCGCGGGGCAAATTATTAATCCTTGTCAAGTCTGAATTTTCAGACCGCCACGTCTGAAATTTTTTTCAGACTACAAGGTCCGTATTTTTAGACCTGCGGTCCAAATATTAGGACTCTAGTCTGAAAACGAAATTCAGACGGACAAGTCTGACACTTTCGGTCTGAATTTTCAGAATTTTTTTAACAGTGTAAGATGTTACATTGCAAATAAAAAAATCAGGTTAAATGGACTAAATACATTGTACAATGAACAATATAGTGCATAGCTTAAGAGAAAATAGTACACTGAAAATCAAATACTGATCCATCTCACACTCCGAGGGGTAGACATAACTGTCTCACCGAAGAAGGGTAATACTATAATGTATCACCGAAAAAATGGTCGTGCACGCATGTTACACCGAAAAAAGGTCGTACACAAATGTTTCACCGATAAAAGGTCGTACACAAATGTATCACCGATAAAAGGGTGATACTTCCCCAGGAAAACAAGGGCCAATCTTGCGATGTCTCACCATTTTTTCGGTGATACATTTGTGTACGACCTTTTTTCCGACCATTTTATCGATGATACATTCGTGTACGACCTTTTTTTCGGTGATACATTTTGTATCGCTCAAAATTGGTGAGATGTCTCACCCTTTGAATTACAGTGTACATATTACGTTTGCACAAAATGGCATGAGATTGAAAGTCAATACGAGACTGAGAGTGCAGGGATCCTTAACTTACCTCGAAAGAGCATCATAACGTTATCGTTAGCGTAAAAGGAATAACCCATAACTCCTGATTCTTTTTAGAAATGATAAGTTTTTTTTCCTAGCGTCTCGTATTTGTTTGGAAGTACTTGCAACAGTCCATACTCTTAACCTTTAGCGAACATTGTCATGCGTTACGTTATGAAACCAGGGTTTGTTGTTATGACAAGTAAAGGATCCCGAACTTATCCCCTAGAGGTGCCCCTTGAGGTGCCTTGGCTACCTTCATATTGACACGTTCAGAAAAGGCACCCTGTTTGTCTCAGCACCAACTTTGGGGTGCATCCTTAACAAAGCAATTAACCAAGTTGTGAGTGAATAGACACTTCCACCAGAGCGCCGAGTGAAGAAGAATACTAAAAGCCGGAAACAGTCCCTAAAAGTCGCTTATTTGTTAATTCTGTGTATTCATTTAGGTTCTTAAATTGATAAATTGAACCAGGATGAGTTCCATCACTTAAAACCATCAAAACCTCCAAATAAGACCATTTTGGAAACTCGTTCCGGTGCTTCTTATTCCTCTTCTTCTTCACTCGGTGTTCTGGTGGGACGTGTCCCCTCGTCAGCAGCACGACCCGTAACATACCTGGGCGGAGCACGCAGCGACGAGTACCACGAGTAGCGTTCTGGAAAGCATGTTGCTGGGCTTCTAGTGACAGTGGTTGTGCGACCGCTTTGACTTTTATACTATCCGATCGTGAATCAATATTCAGACTTCAGCCCAAGCAGACTTCTTGAAGCGTTTCCCGTCTCACGATCGGTCTTTTTTCTACACGTTTTTTTTTCTTTAAGATTTCTGAACTTGTCTTCGTTTGCCTGTTTTATCTGTAGTTGCACTCTCACTTGCCGCCAAAAAAACTCACCGAACTTTGCTCGCAAATCGAAAGAGGTTGCGAGTTTTTCTTCTCGAGTGCTCGTAAGTCATTACGCTAATCTGCGCTGCTTAATTGGCCCTTCCTGTATTTGATTACATGAAGAGATACCAAAGGACGGGCATGCGGGAAGGTTTTCGAAACATGAATTACTTTTGCGACATTACCTTCACTCTAAATGTGAAATTTGAGAAGCAATATTCCTTCGTAATGCGAATCTTTTTAGCTTTTTCATTGTAATATACAAATAAAAACCTTTGTAATACGAAGAAAAACTACCTTCGTATTATGCTTGCGCCATTTCCTTTGAATTAGGGGAAATTTCTTCGCAAGACATTTAGAGTGTTCATTTCTCCTCAAGCGGTGATCTGAACTTTCTTATATACACTTCGAGATAACTTCAGACACAAACCTTTTCTTGAGAATAGAGATCCTCCAATGGTCACGTGACCCTCACACCGCCTTCGTCGGCCAGAGACCACTCCCACTTTAATTTTCGTTATTTTCGCTGGAAATTTATTAAAGGAGCTTTGTTTGGTGTAAAGAAGTCCGTCAGAGGGATTATACGGACAGTGGTAGTCTAGTTGTCTTCGGATCTGAAACATAGAGGCCATACCGGCCATCCTCATCGAGCGGCAGGGAGCGCGCGAGTTTGAACTCGGAATCGGCGCTGCGGCCGGGGTTTCACAATGTCTTAAGAGGTGGACGCATAAATCGACGACTTCAGTTACAGGAAATTTATTTTGAGTTGTCATAATGAGTCCTGCAACTAAATCAGTCACCTACGTGTCCGTCAACCCGAACAAACCCCGACCCACCGCCGTCTCCGCATTCGAATTCTCGCGCGGTTTTGCCACTCAGTGAGCTTCGTGACGTCAGCATTGGAGGACCTCTATTGAACATTGAACATAAAATCCTACATAAATATTGAGGAAGCAGTACTTTTTATTACTGTGTAAAATACTCTTTAACAAAGGACAAAAAGTCAATAACAGTCTTGAGAGTGTATTTCCTAAATGGTTCTTGTTAAACGAAGGAAAGGACGTACAAATTACTTGCACAAGTACTGACAAAATGAGCAAAAAGTCAATAACATGCTGAGAGTGCACTCATGCCGGCATGCCGGCAATCCTGGCGGTGGTGACCGCACTCTAAGATTTAGGGTGCAAGGTTGCACCACCATTTTTATCCGCATACAAACGAAATTCGTCAAAATATCTATAAGGCACAGTAAACTCCCAGTGGTACGTTATAAAGTCAGCTTCAACACCGCAACATATAAAAGTTTCACTATAATATAGATGATCTTCACTGTACTACATACTACAGTATAACTCTTGGGTGAATGATGGTAAATGTATGCTCAAAATTCTTTGTACACAGTAAAAAATATGTTGTGAATTTACGACGGAATATTTTCCGAAGGGTTTTTGGGAATGTCCAAAAGTGCACTGTAAATGTTTGTTTCCTACAGGAACTTTTGTAAATCAACGTAGGTTCGTCGTTAATTTAAGAAGGTTCTTTGTAAATTTACGAAGAAAAGTTGTAAATTTACGAAGAAAAGTTGTAAATTTACGAAGAAAAGTCGTAAAATTTACAAAATCTGTTGTAAATTTACGAAGAGCTTCGTAAATTTACGACGGGCTTCGGTAATCAACGATGGGTCTGCGTAAATCTACGGCGGACCTTCGTAAATAAACGAAGGAAGTGTTGGCAATTTTTTTGCCGAAGGATCTGTCGTTAATTCCAGACGTATAATTACGAAGAATCTCTGTATATTAACGAAGGTTCTTTGTTTGTAAACGAAGGTTCCCTGTAAATTTACGAAGGATCTTTGTAGATTTACGAAGGTGCTTCGTAAATTTCCATTGTGATTGTAAAATCAGCAGAGATCTTTCAAAAAATTAACTAAGGTTTTTGTAAATATACGAAGAGCTTCGTAAATTAACGAAGGAACCGTTGGCAATTTTTTTGCCGAAGGATCCGTCGTTCATTCCGGATATTAATTTTTACAGTGTAAGGCTCTAAATAGTTTGTATGGTTTTCATAGTGAGGTGGCCCACAACTGGTTTGGTTCTTGCTTTTTTATTGCTTCTGTTCTTCACTCGGCGACGACAGAAAGTGGATCATCACGTGGGTCCACCAGAGGATGTTAGGAATACAAAAAAAAGTCTACATGACGCTCAAAGCTTTGCGAGGCGCTTTATCCAGTGGACGTACTGCGACACGTCCGTGAGGGCGTACACGTCCTCCAGTTTGTCGTCGTGCAGGCGGATGGACACGATGCCGGCGAGGAACCACGCTCCGTCGCGCTTGACGAGTGCGCCTCCACCGCTGTCTCCCTGCAGGAGGCCGGAACGAGGAGTGTCTGGAACAGAGCAAGGGACAGGGTTCACTGTAAATGTTTGACGGTGGAAGGCTGCACCACCATATTGTGGTAAGGATTTTCTCCATGAGACAAACTCCTCAAAATATCTTTGAGGTGCAAAGTAGTGAATTCTCAATGGTAAGGGAGTATGGGGCGATTTGTAACAGGGGCGATTCGTAACAAATGCGTTTATTAATTTAAGTGAAGGGAGCCGAGGAAAATCTGAGTATGGTCCCTCTTTCGCTTCAAGTACAGGGTCCTTCAACAATCGAAGCGGATGTGATCGGTGCTCAGGTATAGTTTTGGAGGGCGTCTGAAATATAGGGTACACCGAAAACAGGCAAATCTTTTATTTTGAGTTCTAGGAAGTTTCTGTCTGAGGCTCCCCAGGTATGAATCACCATCGAAGTACCGTTGGGGCCTTGAAGCGTGACCCCTTTACAATGTAACCACGTGGCATAAGTTGCTTTTACTTTGCCCAGTGACAGTTAGGGACGTATTTCTTGCGTAGCCAGCATTTGGGGTGATTCGTAACAGACCCGTATAAAAACAAGAATTTAAGTAGTTTTTGCAATTAAATGCTTGAATTATTTCTCGAATCATCTGCTGCCTAATTCCAATACATTTACACAGCTCAAAATGCATTTTAAAGCTAGTTATTCTATTCTTTCCTCCAAATTTGAAAAAAGTGAGGTTAGGGTTGACATAGCCGGTCAGTTAATGCTGAGGCGGTCAACGGCAGCTTGTAATGTAGATTTTAAGGCGTCTGCAGGACATCCGAAGAACAACTGCTGGAGGAGATAACATTCCCGACGATGTTTCATTTAATGTGTAGGATGTTATGAAAAGCCCCATGGCTGTTAGAAATCACCCCATGCTGGGGCGATTCGTAACAGCATGCAAGGGTTTGGAAAGCGTCTTAGATTTCAAAGATTATGGACTCCAGATTGATCCAATGGAGCTTCACAGTCTAGATGAAGGGCCAGACTGCTCAACTGGCACAAGTTTGACACCGATATGCAGAATATTCTTAATTTTGAATAGAGAATTCCAAAATCTGTTACAAATCGCCCCATACTCCCTTATGTTTAAAAGTTACATTGTCAGAAATTTTGTCATAAATTAGCGACAAAAACGTCGCTAATTTTCATAGCGACGGAAATCGTTCTTACACTACTTCGTCGTAACTGAACGACTAAAAAGTCATTTCTCTACGACAATGTCGTAATCGTGATTACATATTTTAAAATCTGAAATCCCCGAAAAGTTGGTAAAAAGTTACAATTTTGCTCGCTTATTTACGATTTGTGTCGTTCATTTACGATTCATGACACAAAGTTACGACAAGAGTCGTAGATGTACGAATGAAGTCATAACTGCACGACATATTCCATGAATGAATTACGATCGTTCGTAAACTTACGACTACGTCGTAAATTTACGACTTGATTCGTTTTAAAACGGAACCACTGGTGAAACTAAAGCGTAGTATTACCCTCTGTTTTCAAGCGTAATCGGGTTACGGTTACGCTTGAAATCAAGCGTAACAGGCCCATCCGCCAAGATTCCACCTCTATCTAAATGCATGGGGGAATTTCCAGAGTATGCTTCATTTCAAGCGTAACGTCTTCAAGCGTAACTTTATGCTTGACTCAAGCATAGAGTTACGCTTTAGTTTTACCAGTGACGTCTCGCTATCAAAATTAGCGACAAATATGTCGTATATTTACGACTCAAGTCGTATATTTATACGACTTGGGTCGTAACAGAAAATGTCGTTTGAAAATAACATAATTGTTCTACAAAATGTCGTAAATATACGATTATTTTTAACAGTGTAGCTAGCTGCACCACCATAATTTAGAGAATTTTCATCCTAATCACACTCTTGAAAGCCTAAGAAGCATTTGATTCGTAACTACGAAGAAAATGAAGGCATTGTACAATTGCTTCGTACTATGAAGAAATGTTTCGTATAACGAAGAGCTCGTAGAGTTTTTACTGTGTGTAGGTGATTGTGTTGTAATAGTACAATGAATTTTCAACTGCATCAATTCAATCATTGAATTTTTTATTTTTTTTACTATTCCTAATGATTCTGCTCGTTGGCCTAACTGACGCCACCACATATCAGAGAACGTTTGGTGCTGTTGTGCAGTCCTGTACTCACCTTTTCTTCGCTTGGCGCAAAACTTGTCGTGGGTCACGTAAGCAAGCTGCGCTGAATTGGAGCTCATTGAGTTAAAGCAGTCTTCGAAGTCAAGCTGTGATAAATTAACGGATTCCAGCTCCGGCAGTGTAGTTGTCTCGTTGCCCCATCCTGCAATCTGAAGAAAAACCATACGGCTGTCGTAGGGAACAATGCGTCAATAGCATCCCACCCACCCAGGAAGGGCACATGAAAGTCTACGAATAATTTGCTTCATAACTACGAACGCAATGAAGCCATTCTAAAATTGCTTCGTATTATGAAGAGATATCGAGAGATATTATGAAGAGATATCGAAGGATTTTACTCAGTTCGAAGCATTTTTCGAAGTGTTTCTTCGTTGAGTTTTCACTGCGCAAGGCAGGCGGCTGGAGCACTGTAAAAAATTACTGTGAATTTACGAAATTTTATTTTACAAATTCCTTGTAAAGTAACAATAACATTTCGTTATTTTATGAAATTTATTTGTAAAGGCCGATTTATGGATTATTCATCACAGAAATCTTCTTAATTTTATGAAATTTGTTTGTGAACACCGCTTTATGAAATGGTACGAACTAAATACATCTCAAAAGTGACGATATTACTACAGTTAGGTCACAGAAATATGAAATGTTTCCTAAAATTACAACAAATCCATGGGTAATTTCGTTGCACAAATCGCTTGTAAAATTACGAAATAGGGTGATGCCTTCGTCATTCTACAAGATGTCTCATAGAACTACAAGATGTTTCATAGAACAAAAAAATTCCACTGAAACAAGTTTATCTTCATTTAATCAGCGTGACAATGTTGAACAAAAGTGGTCCACGTAAATTGAAACTTGTAAAAAGTTTGTGATTTTACAAACTACTGCGTGAAGAAAAATTCATAAATCGATAAAAACATAAAAACGTTGTATATTTACAAATAATTCGTGCAACGAAATTACCCCTAATTTGTTTGTAAATTTACGAACAAATTTTTTACAGTGAGGGCCTACTCATTACCTTGATGTTACTTTTCGACGTGGGTTTAACGCCTCCATCTAGACAAATGGGAAAAACTTTGTCGCTGGGGTCGGCGCAGGTTTCCAGCTCCAGCACAGCGATGTCATAACCCTGTTTGTTGGCATGCCCCCTGTAGTAGGCATGCTTGTGGACTGTTTTTACCTAGAATGACGCAGACATACAGCAGCGTTAAAATTCATTCTCAACACGCGACAACCTGCACACTACACTCTCATTTCAGGAACGTGACATCACGTTGAAATGAATGTGACAAAATGTCACGTTCACTGTTAAAAAATGGTTGATCAGAAACAATCAGATGAGTGAAAATTTAGTCGTTCCAAAACATAGAATTTCATCATGAACCAAAGCGAAACAAATGTCGTTGACTCAAGTCAGCGACAATTTGTCGTTGAAGAACAATATTCTTGTTATCACCCTTAACGATGCAATTTGTGTGGAAACAACATCTTTTGCAATTATCTGCTCAATTAAAGCGTATTATGAAAATTCATCCATTTTGTTCACCAAGTCATAGTGAAATTACTATTGATGCAACCATGCAAAATAAATTTAGCGACAAAAGTTCTCCATGAGTACTTGTCGCAGACATAACAAAATATTTTTCGACTTACAATACTTGTCGTTGACTTACAACATTTGTTGTTGGTCAACGACTTGTTTTTGAAAGTGGACTGTTGATGTGTTATTACAAGTTAGTCGTTGTGAAATTATCCTTCAGTTCCTGTACGACTATGGTTTAACAAGCGATTTGTTCCACAACAAATCTTGTTGTTAAAAAAGTTAGTTAGCGACAAATGTGTCACTAAGTTACTACAAATTTTTTATCAGTGTTCGTTTCAACGTGAATAAGCTAATTTATGGCTGATTCACGTCACTTAATTTAAAACATGACTGAGGGAAAATTTTTCCATATTGTGCTTGAATAAAATAGACCCTTGTACAAAGACGTCCATAACTTACATATGCACAAATAAGAAAATAGCTGTGGACAGAAAGGCCATAGGAATGAAGCGTGTGAACCTTATTTGGAGGCGTCTCACTTCAAACCACTACGACTCATAACATTTTTTCCCAGATCCGCCCCTTTATTTCTCGGTAAAGATGACCATTTAGGAGCCTAACGGTCGACGTAAGTAGCCTTCGCACTAAATCTATGTAGAATTATGAATCTTGCAGAATTGCATTTTGTAGAATTTTGTTGATTTTGTATCCTGCATGAGTGCATAATTTTATGCAATACGTCATACAGGATTGAGATCGTGCATCACCACGTAAAAAATTGTACATAAACATTTAGCGTGTTGGTGCATTTTCCTCTTACGGTTAATTTTTGCAAAGAATTCTGGAGTTGAAAATCAAAACCAGACATCCTCTTTACACTTGTAGTCGAGGGGAAATCACTCCTAAAACCTACGACCCGACTATTACGCCTATAACGCTCTATTACGCCTCAAAATATAGCGACAGACCAAAAAACCCGTAAAATAGATCAAATTTTGAGAATTTCAGCTATTACGCTACTATTACGCACACTATTACGCGTGCTATTACGGACAGAGTGACCCGACTATTACGCGAGTGCTTTCCCCCTCGCTTGTAGTGCATCCGATGTTTGCACCAACCAAATGGGGCCTCTCGTTTTAGTATACTTACTCTAGTCTTCACAATCTTGGGCTCATCTTCCGAATCCCAACCGCTGAAGAATTTCCCGAGGGCCACGAACATCTTGGCGTCTTCCGGAACGCAATGCGCAGCTGAAAGTAAATCACAAGCATTCACTCTCATTCCAGGAACGTGACATCACGTTGAAACGAACGTGACAGAATGTCACGTTAATTTGAGCATTGTGTGACGTTCGTTTGAATGTGAACAGGCTGATTTTTGGCCAATTCACACCCAAACGAATAAGACACAATGCTCAAACGAACGTGACATTTTGTCACGTTCGTTTCAACGTGATGTCACGTTCCTGGATTGAGAGTGTTCAAAGTGGCAGGTCGTCTCTAGAAAAGTGCAGTTTGTTTTCAGACATTGCTGTTGGCGTCACCTACACTCCAAAAAATCTTGGAATAAGTTTTGCGTGCGAGACGCTTCGCCCACACCGTCGACCCACGCATGGCGTCACACTCACCCGTGGCGACAAAGCAGCGGGCGACGAGGCTGCCCCCACAGACGTACTCCTTGTCCTTGCGGCCAGAGCTCTCCACGTAGATCGCGGCGTGCCAGGGCACCGTCTCCACGGCGGCGGTGTCCCCATCCTGCACCAACTCGGAAGGCCCTGGCTGGGCCTTGCCGCACGCGTCTTTCTTGGCAACTGGGGAAGGTGGGAGCGGACACACCAAATGCTTCAGAACACATTTTATGCGGGACGTCACAGTTTTGGGAGCAAAGGAACTTTTCGTACAAATTTGTATAAAAATTGGGAAACATGTGCACATTGTTACGTCACATTCGTTCAATAACAGTGCAGAAGTTCGTACACTCTTAAAAGCCTACGAAGCATTGGCTTCATAAGTACGAAGAAAATGAAGGCGTTGTAGAATTGCTTCGTATTGGGAAGAAATGTTTCATATAACGAAGATTTTGCTTCTACGAAGCATTCCTTCGTAGATTTTACAATGCTTTCATTTCGTATTACGAAGCGATTCTTCCTAGAGTTTTTACTTTCGAAAACTGTACAAACTGTTCATCTGAACAAAACAACTATGATGTCTCGTACAAAATTGTGCGTAACATTTAGTGTGGGCTCAGAAAAGAACACACACACTAAGGGCGGATCCAGGTCAACCTGAACGGGGTTCACTCACTATGAATTCAATTGTCGTGGAAACTCAACACTTAAACTGCATTTCATAGTGAAATTTGCAGCCACAGCCTCCACACAGTAAAAATCTACGAAGAATCGCTTCGTAATACGAAGCAAATGAAGGCATTGCAAAATCAACGAAGAAATGCTTCGTATTATGAAGCAAAATCCTTCCTGATACGAAGCATTTCTTCATAATACGAAGCAATTCGACAATGCCTTCACTTTCTTCGTAGTCATGAAGCAAATGCTTCGCAGATATGCATTTGAGTTTGGAAGTTGGTTTCGAGTCCTGATAGCGACTTTGGAGCTAACAAGCTACACTCTAAAAAAAATCAGTACAGAATTTTGTAACATGGTTACGCAGCTTTTTCAATAACATGTGTTACAGAAATTTGTATCACGATGGATACAATTTTTTTCTTCGTAACTTGGTTACAGAATTTCGTAACGGTTACAAAATTTGCAAACAGTCGTTATTCTTCCAAATCAAGCTTCAAAATGAGAATTTTGTTCGAACGTAGTCTCCGTGGGTCTGATTGAAGGTCCTTATGCCATTTTTCGAGTAACAACTTTCCCAGATGTACTCTGAGAAGTCGGGAATCGAACCCCAAACTCTGGGTTGGCGGCCCGCCACGCTACCAACTGCGCTGTGCGGACGCCGTGGAGAGAGCGGCGCAGGTAGCCGGTGACCTGAGACGCGCGCAGTAAGGGACGGAGGCCTTGCCAGCCAAGCATACACGAGACTGAATCTCTTATTCAGAGTCGGGAAAAATAAAAGCACATGAAAACTCTAAGTTTAACTAGTCTCTATGGGCACTGCTGTTCAATTTTGCCGTTAAAACATTATGTTTTTATCTCTGATACAGAATTTAGTATCCAGTTACAATTTTCTGTATCAGTTATGTTACAAACATAATATTGTAACCTTCATGTAACAAATTTCTGTATCAAGGTCCAAAATGATTCGTTTTTCTGTAACCGGCACATCTGTTACAAAATTCTATATCACTTATACAAATATTTGTAACCAATGCAGGTGATACAAAACCCTGCATCAAAAATGATACAAAATTCTGTAACTTTTTTTAGAGTGTAGGGCCCGCCCTTCCGTCGAACCGAGTTGCCAGCTCCGCTTCGCTGCGCCGGCAACTCGGTTCGACAGGGGGCCGGCCCAGCTTGGCCTGCCGGCGGCCTTTTCTCGGGCCTTCGGCCCTCGCATCAGACCCAACTTGGCCAGTCGAAGGCCCGGGCCTTCGGCCCGCTCGCATCACACACCCCGTGAGCGGGTAAAGCAAAGTTATCGATGTACCATCGTGACTTAGGCCCGCCCTTCTATTCACAATATGCAATAGTCCTTACACTTTTTGCTCCAACTGTCCTTAGAATATGCCCATTTCATTTGTCTCTTCGCTCTCATTCCGAAAATACCCATATTTGCCATGCTACTGCAACTCCTTGCAATAGAGGCACAGCAGGAGCGCAAAACGAGTCCGTCGCACTTTTTCCCGTAACTCATGAAGGCGGGCTCCTGGACCCCCTTCCGACCCCTCGTTGAAGAGGTCTTGCCAAGACCTATCGAAAACTTCAGTAAAAATTTTCAGTCGGTCGACCCCCATTTTTGAAGATCCTGATGTGACTAATAGACGAAGTCGGGCTCCTGGACCCCCTGTCCGACCCCTCGTTGAAAAGGTCTTGCTGAGACCAATCGAAATCTGCAATAAATTTTTTTAGTCGGTCGACCCCTTTTTTTGAAGATCCTGATGTGACTAATAGACGAAGTCGGGCTCCTGGACCCCCTTTCCGACCCCTCGTTGAAAAGGTCTTGCTGAGACCAATCGAAATCTGCAATAATTTTTTTTAGTCGCACTACAAACCTAACTGTCTACTAAGTACACACTTACAAATGCATGCTTGCAAGTACACACTTACAAACGCATGCTTGGCCAAGTACACACTTAAAAATGCATGCTTGCGAGTACACACTTACAAACGCATGCTTGACGCCGTATAACTCCATGCGTCAAGCATGCGTTTGTAAGTGTGTACTTGCAAGCATGCATTTGTAAGTGTGTACTTGGCCAAGCATGCGTTTGTAAGTGCGTGCTTGCAAGCATGCATTTGTAAGTGTGTACTTAGTAGACAGTTAGGTTTGCAGTGCGGTCGACTCCCTTTTTTGAAGATCCTGATCTGGCCAACTTGTAAAAGCGACCGATGGGGTCGGGACCAGGTTCATTCATCTTGTCTCGTCGCCCCGATTCCAAAAATACCCCTATGTGCCCTGCTAGCACCAATAATGGCGGAAATCCCCCTCCCGCTCATGTAAACCATGATGCACCTGCAGCAGCCCTTGTGCGACCCGGACGGGATTTGCACCACCGGATTATTTGTTTGGACGGTACTCCTGAAGTACCCTCCAAATCTGGTTACTCTAGCTCAACTCCTTCCTTGTACACAGACGCCAACAACAACAACAACAACAACAACAACAACAACAACAACACACAGACACAAAGGCAAATGCATAGGCCCTCCCCCTATTTTTTGAATAGAAGGGCGGGCCAAAAATGCGTCTCGAGTTTCGGCCGCCTGTGCTGACCGACCCACTGTGCTCCACCGCACGTCGGGTACTCACGGTGCTTGAACTGCACGGGCATGTCGGCGCTCCACTGCCAGGGCCGCACCTTGAGGACGCGGCTGGCCGCGGGGACGGACACGCTGGCCACGCGGTTGGGCCGGCCCTGCAGCCACACGGCAAGCTGCGAGGAGCGCCGCTCCGCCACGAACGAGTACTCGCCGGGGGACCACTCCCGCGAACCGTCCGGGACCACCTGCGGCAAAGTGGGGGGGGGGGGGGGGGGAAAGGAACACACCCACTATTTAACCAGTCAGGGCCTTGAAGCTGATTTGGTAAAGCAGCCTTATCATGTGGCCTGGCCTCGTCTTGTCTAAATTAGCTCAGCACACTGTTAGGGATTTTGTTGTAAAATAACGAGTAATTCCCTGTTAATTCTATAGTACAAATTGTTCGGAAGTTAATGTGTACAGTCGTTATAATTCAAATCTTCAACCATATCATTTTCAGGTTGGTCTTGGTTCGCCTCGACAAAAAAACGTGAAAAAAGAACTAATAATGTACCTTAAAAATTTAACGACTTTCTTTGTAAATTTACGATTTTTCCTGGTTAAATTACGATTTTTCTTTGTAATTTAACAAACTTTTGTAATTTTACGAACAATTTGTCCTATAGAATTAACAGGGGCGTATTTATCACTTTTCTTGCGTGTTTATCATTTCATCACACCAAAATTGTGATAATCTGGGCCAGACCGGCCGAAACCTGAGACTTATGGAATTTTGAACTTGATAACATTTTTATTGCTGCTATGGATGCGATAATTTGAAGGGATCGCATTAGCCTTTTTATCGCTGCTAACTGTATGAATCTTATCACATTAGAAATACCAGTGAAGCTAATTCTCATTACTTTGCGATAGATATGTATCAAAATACCGAGACATTTATCCGTATTTTGAAGGAATTCTTCACCAAGGTTACTTGCTTCGCTGCGCTGTCAAAATACTATCGAATTTAAAGCTTTCTTCCAATAAGTTCCGCTCACGTGAGTGTTGTCAGAGCAGAAGCCGCTCCTGACGTTGCAGCCAGTCGACTTCCAATACTGCAGCTGCCCGTCTGCGTTTGCACCCTCAATGGCCAGCCGACCGCAAGAGGAACTGTCGCACATGTAGAACACGGGTTGCACGAAGTCCTTGTCGTAAATTATCTGGACTTCAGTGGAGTGACCCACATTCAGGTCAGTGGAGGGCACTGAAAAACAAAAGCCGAATTGTTTTAAAGTTTTACAACAATGGTAAAACGAAGGCATCAAAGTTAAGCCCCAACAGGGCGTGAACGATTTATACCCCTGGAACGGCGTGGATCGGTTTGGGCTCTAGAGAGGGGATTAGATTAGAGTAGGACTTTCAGACAAATTTTGAACGCGTTGAAAGGGATTACCTTCATATGCCTTTAATGGGCGTGACAGACTGTTATGCCGCTGAAGGCGTAGTTTTAATGCCTCATTTTTACCAGTGACGATGACGACTGCACATCCCCTTGTAGTACTCTCCCACTTCAGAGCCAATGCATTAATTTGTGGCAATGGCTATGGAAACTGCTCTACAAACTCAAGTGTGTACATAGTACACTCCAGGTTGGCGTTGCCAAGTTATATGCCAGGTGGCTCATACCTGCAGCAGGGAGCCAGCAACAGTGTACCTGAAGGTATGCGCCACCTGGCGTGTACTTGGCAAGTACACGCCAACCAGGAGTGTACATGCCAAGTGCACGCCAACCGGGAGTGTACGTGCTAAGTGCACTCCAGGTGAAGTGTACTACTATGTACACACTTGAGTTTGTATAGAGTGTAGCTTGGCAACTTCATCACGGCATTTCGTTCGATATCCACTTTTCCATATGAGCTTCCTAGCTGATCGATCAGAGTATTGGGTGATGCTCCAGTGCTAACCGTGTGACACGAGGTGAGTCGTATACGGAAAAAAGAGCGGCTGCATTCAAAAGATCTTATCGTTTCCGGATAAAAGATATTACCCGATAGGGTAGATCATAAATTCCATCATCGATAGGGTAGATCATAAATTCCATCATAAACTAAATGGTCCAACCAATACTAACCAAACCTAACGGGCTCGTGACAGATCTTACCGTACTCTCGACAGATCTCATTCTTAAGGGGGTAGTACACTTCGCAAGGTTTAAAAAATTGCGTGGTTAGGAAAATTATTTGCGGGTAGAGGAGGTGAGGTACGCCAAAACTGACTATGGGACCTTATTTAACTTTCATTTTGGACCAAAATCACATGTGAGCGATTCTCACGTTTCGGGGTAGTTTTGGCGTCTCTGATTTGCCGAAAGTGAGAAATATCCAATTAAGTTTTTCTGATTAATGGGGTCCTGGATGATACTAGAGTTATGGCAATGGTATTTATAATAAAGACCTTGTACTACCTTCCTAAAAACCTGAGCCATAAGGTATCCCCATACGTTTTTGTGGATGTTTTGATCACGGAAATTACGTTATCACGGAAGTTACAAAGTGTGAAAATCGGCTTTAACGGCTGACTCGGGCTTGCTGTGGCTTAAAAGTTGTTCCAGGTTCAAATGATACTCTAAGCCCGACATTTAAGCGGAAAATTTTTTCACCTAGTGCTGCTGCAACATTGGGTAAAGGGTGCCACGGAAGTTACAGGTAATTGTTGATACACGCCATTTTATAATGCTCTAGCCCGCTTTGAGACCGTGTACAGCATCTTAGATTTCCGCGACCCATGCAATTATATCCCAGGGACTCCACTTTGATGGCTTGTGTCATGGAAAGTTAAAAGTTCGGCTTGGGGAGAAGTCCAGAGCTGCCTTTTCGAAATTTGTGTAGTGAAATTGAATATACGGTGGACATTTTTCGTTGCAGCATAAGTACCTTTGAAAGAAGTCTGGCGTATTGGTCTTCGGTTGAAATTAGCTCGAGACATGCCAAGCTTCGAATCCCCATCCACAGTTGGCAGCTAGGGTGGGCCGAAAATCTCAGAATTAAACGGCGTATGGTTTTCTTTGCAGTTGACTAGAAAAGAGATCCCACAATGCCGGTATCTAGTGACGTCACATTCCATCTCCTTGGAGGGTCCAAACTTGGGTCTAATAGTGAAAAATGGCACTTTTGGCCTTACAGGGACCAAACCAGGGATCGCCCAGGATGCGGCTATCTCGCGATGGGTGCGGAACATGTCCCTTTATATCCCTGCAAAGTCTGGTCGATGTAGCTCAACATCTTGGTTAAGCCCGGGCACTTGTTTTGACGCAAAAACAAAGTCCCAAAACACTAAAATTAGGATTAAAGGGTCTATTCTTTGCTCAAAGGTCCCACATACTTAGATGAATCGAAAGGGCTTAAAAATGCTATTTTTTGGTATATATAACTTTGTGATCGGACGAAAATTGTTGCCAGGCCAAAACTTTACACATTTCAGCAAAAGCTCAAAAACACTAAAATTGATCTTAAGAGAATATGTATTCCCTGAGGGTCTAATACGATCACACTGTTCAAAAGATCTCAAAAAATGCAAAAATGCAGTTTTTTGCTGTGACAAACACTCGATTTGTAGTGAATTAAAGAAGAAAGTGTAAGCGTTCGTCCGTCCATTTCTTGCCTAACAAGGGTTTTGCTTCGCTTTGCTGCCGAATTGTTTAACAACAAATCGAGTTTTTGTCACATCAAAAAACTTTATATATCAAAATATTGCATTTTTTGAGATCTTTCGAACAGTATGATCATATCGGATCCACAGGTAATACATAGTCTCTTAAGATCACTTTTTAGTGTTTTTAAGCTTTTGCTGAAATGTGTAAGGTTTTGGCCTGGCAACAATTTTCGTCCGATCACAAAGTTATATATACCAAAAAATAGCATTTTTTAAGCCCTTTCGATTCATCTAAGTATGTGGGACCTTTGAGCAAAGAATAGACCCTTTAATCCTAATTTTAGTGTTTTGGGACTTTGTTTTAGTGTCAAAACAAGTGCCCGGGCTTAACCAAGATGTTCAGCTACATCGGACAGACTTTGCAGACTTTGCAACTTTGCAGAATAAAGGGACATATTCCGCACCCATTGCGAGATAGCCGCATCCTGGGTGATCCCTGGTTCGGTCCCTGTAAGGCCAGAAGTTCCATTTTTCACTATTAGGCCCAAGTTTGGACCCTCCAAGGAGATGGAAGGTGACGTCGACGTCACAAGACACCGGCATTGTGGGATCTCTTTTCTAATCTAGTCAACTGCAAAGAAAACCATACGCCGTTTAATTCTGAGATTTTCGACCCACCCTATTGGCAGCGTTTTCGAACCACACCGCCACACTGGGGGCGGAGAGTTCGAGTATGTTCTCTTTGGACAATCACGGAAGTTACATTTAGGGTATACCAAACGCTACGTAGACCAATCCAACGAACGTGAACTTTTTGAAATGTGTGCGTTTAGTGGGCAATGGCCCTCCCTAATATCAGAAACAAACCCCATGTCGATATCTGCGCTCGTTTGGGCACAGGATTCAGAAGAAACGAAACTACCCCGAAACGTGAGAATCGCTCATGTATTTGCAGTTGGAGGCAGCAGTTACGACTTCCACGATTTTTTTCCTCTGTAACTGGTGCCGATCTCCTGCAATGTGGCCTCAAATATGTGCCATTTTCGCTCAAAATGGGTCAAATTGGCGATTTTTAGGGGTTCCCAAGAACCCCTATTGTCCGAGGTCCGTGGATTCTTCCCCCCCCCCCCCCTCTCCGATTTTCAAATAAACAACTCTAAACTATTTCAACCATGAAAAAAACGAAAATTCCAATTTTTTTCGAAAATTCATCGTGGAAATTTTCCGTAAACGCGAAAAACATAAATTTGCAACAATCGAAAACGAAAACCGTAAACGAAAACCGTTAATGATATGAAAAAATGGTTCAAATAAAAAATGAGCCACTCCTCAAAACTAAACCTCCTGGCTCATCAAAGTAACAAGAAATCGTATATGTTCTGAGCAAATGGTCAAAACATGAAAAAAAATCTCCATGGCAACGGCATGGTCCCATCGTACCACCCGTCAAAATTTAAAGTCGCCCATTAAAAAAAATCTAAACGCCGTGAAATTTGAAAATGCTAATGCTAACACATTGCACGGTGTCTCAACGTTGGAACATCTTTAAAGTCTGTCACTACTAAAAAGTTCGTAGCAGAAACGACGCATCAAATTAATTTTCGTGGGTTGGCACCAATATGCTTCCCGTCTGCGCCCTTTCGAAAATCGCGAGGCTGAAAGAACGAACAGGCGCCCATTGAAACTGCCCCTCCATTGTTGCTGAGGTTGGATTGTTTGGCATGCTCTCAAAGGCTGCGGTTGTCTTGTCATGTTTTCCTCGATTTTCAACCAGTTATGGAAACGGGAACACCGTGCAATGCGATTAGCATTGGAATTTTTTATTTTTCAAAGGGGCTGTGGAGCGAAAACGAGGGCCATACCCTATACTTTCGTCATTTGAACTTGAAAGTAGGGTCAGAGACCTACCGATTGCACCCTGAATAAGTCGATTTTTCGATTGGGAACACCCCTAACCAAAGCCTCAAAAGTGCCTGAAAAATAAGCTCAAAATTGCGATTTCGGATAGGAGGAGTTGAGCTACGATCCTTCCGGGGGCATATTCGGATTTTTCTCGTGATTTTACGTACATGATACCATTTTCGTCCTTCCAGAGTGAACGGTACGGAAATGGGACCCATTTTTCACTTTTTATATAAAAGTTTTGGAAAGTCTTAAATAAAAACTTTGAACCGCTATATCTCGGAAACTACTGGGGCTACGGCTGTGAGATTTTGCACGAACATTCCCTCCTATGAGGGCAACATTTGAGGCAAATAATCGGAGATGGTCGATTAAACTCGTGTAAATCTACCATGGAACGCCCCTACCCAAAATTGGGCAATGAAGTTGCATCACCCATTTGAAGGGTGATGGTGGTGACCCATTCATTCTCAGTGCTCCCAAACATCTAAATTGGTTAGCTCCTCGCGTGAACGAACCTGCATTACAGACATCTGCAAACTCGTCGCTTCCATCTGCGCACTCGGCCCTTCCATCGCATTTGCTGAATGCGTCGATGCAATTGCCGTTAGCGCACTGCCATTTCCTAGGACCACAAACGGCACCTGCAAGTAGACGAAAATTCAGAGCAGACAAAACCCATCCGGAAATGGTTCGGTGGGCCAGAAGGCCGGACCCGGTGGCCAAATTTCTAGACACTTTTTTTAACTGCAGGAGTCGCTAAACATGACTCAAACATCTCGTTTTCTCGTTTCTCGTCCCGACAGGTGCGGATTAAGGAGCCCCCGGGAGCCCCCGACAGTGCCCCGCCCCCTTTTTTCCCTTAAGGGGGCTCATACATGTTAAAAGCACTTAGTAAAAATTTTCTTTTGATGTAGACGGATCAAGATTTTACAATTTCTGTGTTAAAACCCTTTTAGATAATTGAGTAAGCTTCATTTTGGCTTAAAGGAAAGTGACTTTGGACATTTTTTGGAGATTTAGTCGAAACGTTTAAAATTTTGGTTCTCGTAAGATTTTGTTCGCATACTTGCTCAGATCTGTGGGGAAAAAATCAGGGAGACTCATCCCTAGTAGTGTCATAGAATTGACTACAATGGGCTTTATATCTGCAATAGTTTTCAAGAAAAAAAATAAAAACAATTTTTTTAACAATTTTTTGAACAAATTTTTTAACAAAAAATTGTTTTTATTTTTTTTCTTGAAAACTATTGCAGATATAAAGCCCATTGTAGTCAATTCTATGACACTACTAGGGATGAGTCTCCCTGATTTTTTCCCCACAGATCTGAGCAAGTATGCGAACAAAATCTTACGAGAACCAAAATTTTAAACGTTTCGACTAAATCTCCAAAAAATGTCCTAAGTCACTTTCCTTTAAGCCAAAATGAAGCTTACTCAATTATCTAAAAGGGTTTTAACACAGAAATTGTAAAATCTTAATCCATCTACATCAAAAATTTTTTTTTATAAAGTGTGTTTAACATGTATGAGCCCCCTTAAACCGCGCCTGCGTCCCGAGAGCAAGCCATTGGTGAGCACACGTTCGGTTGAGTCCCAACGACTCTAGACGTCACCGGGATCTTGATCGCTTCCACCAGTCTTCTGGCCTACTATACCCCTTTAGGGTCGAAACCCATTCGGAATGGGTTGTGATCAGTTGAGTTTGGGTCAAGCAAGACCCACGGGGAATGAGTCACTAAAAGTTAGGGCGGAACTTTCATGCTCTTGGATTCCTAGAGTTCTAATTTCCATTAATAATGAAGAGCGCCGTCCTCGCGTCGGGTACTCACGGTGCTTGAACTGCACGGGCATGTCGGCGCTCCACTGCCAGGGCCGCACCTTGAGGACGCGGCTGGCCGCGGGGACGGACACGCTGGCCACGCGGTTGGGCCGGCCCTGCAGCCACACGGCAAGCTGCGAGGAGCGCCGCTCCGCCACGAACGAGTACTCGCCGGTGGACCACTCCCGCGAACCGTCCGGGACCACCTGCGGCAAAGTGGGTTATATAGCACTGTCATTCCAACTGCACTCACCACTGTCACTGCCTCTGTTTTGCTATGGAAAGACTTATCACAATGCAAAGGTCATTCTCATCCTTCAATTAAAGAAATCTTAAATCTAGAAGGTGTGGATTTTCGTGCGATCAATAGCTGACTTTTTAAAATTTTTAAATAGATCGATGCAATGTGATAAGTTTTATTTATAGCGAAAAATAGACAGGTCATTGCCGTTTGAACACTAGTGTTAGCATTTGTAGGTGTGCAAGTTGCTTATCTTGCATCTGCTATACTGTAGTTCACGCAGCGACCGCGGAAGTGGGGGGGGGGGGGGGGGGGCGGGGCGGTTGGCCCCCCCTGAAATGAAACGGGGGGGCGCCGCCCCCCCTGGTTGGCGTCGCAAATTTCTGTATTGTGTCCAAATTTTAACCAAAACGCGCTAATATTTTCGTAAATTCGCTGGCTTTTAGCTCGCTTCGCTCGCCCTCCTTGGTACTTTCCACCGTTTGATGACTTTTAACTGTATGCGCTCCATTTTAGCTTGTACTTTTCATACTTCGATGGCGTTTAGCTAGCTTCGCTCGCATTTCACTGACCTTGAGGGTCAAAAGCGGCCTCCTAACTATTGTAAATTCCACATTACGCATTCGCATTACGCATTACACATTCGCACATTACGCATCTTATTAGCCCGCCCCCCTTTTTCTCCTGATCCCCCCCCCTTAACAGAAAAGTCTTGCCCACCCCCGGTCATGAACTACTTCCGCGGTCCCTGAGTTCACGGTAAAAGCAGCATCTGGGATTCCCAAGCCCACACAGGAAAAATTAGTATCTTTTGTAGGAGTCGCCTGGGAATCCCATGTACTGCTTTCACGGTAAAAGCAGATCCTGGTTTTCCCAGAAACTCTCTGGAAATCGCCTATGTCTCTACCAGGCTTCCTGGGAAATCCAGGCTCCGTTTTCACAGTGTTCACCGTGTGAAAGTATGCATTCGTAGATCCAAGTACACAACGGTTTGTTGTGAGTTTCGATCGAATTCCAAAAGAGGCAGGGTTCGAACCCTTTCTGAGCCTCAGCGTACATGCTGGTTGTCGGGGCAGAAGCCACTCCGGAGGTTGCAGCCAGTCGAGTTCCAATACTGCAGCTCTCCGTTGGCGTTCGCGCCCTCGATGGCCAGCCGGCCACAAGAGGAGTCGTCACACATGTAGAACACTGGATGGCCGAAAGCCGCGTCGTACTGCAACCTAACCTCCGTCGAGTGTCCGGTTGAAAGTTCCGTTTGGGGGACTGCAACAAAGAGCTCATCAAATGCAGCTTGCCGCACTTGTAAGGATGCATTTGTAAGTGTGTACTAAGTAGACAGTATGGCGTGTTGTAAAAGCATCGCCCAAAACGCAAAATCTCGCAAACAGCAAACTTTTGAGCGCCATAACTTGCAAACGGCTTGAGATAAAAATCTAGGCAGGCGCTCATTCGATTCAGGACGATTTGGTCTATCGATTACGTACACACAAGGGCAAACAAAAATGTAAATTCCCAAAAATTGCAAGACAAATGTGCTATTTCTTTCATTACTAGTCGTTTCAGGCCATATCGTTAAGAAGTGTTGGCCGCAGGCCGGATCTGTGGGAAAAATCTTGTTTCTTGGACAATTTTAAACATGGGGACACCTGTCTCAGCCACCTGGTGTAAAAATTGATAGCATGAAGCAGAAACCCAAATACATGTTTTTAGTCCGAAAGTGTAACTTTGCTGTGCTATAACAAGCCAATAAATTTTTGCCGGACGCAATATTTTGGCTTTTGAAGGCTTTTTAGGTGGGTAACATGCCCACAAAATATCAGTACGATCGGAGGGGATCGTGGCACAAAGTGTCTTTTCCTTAATGGGATTGATACAGTTTTTTTCTTTGTCCTGAAAAATGATGAAAAGTGAGTTATCTTTTTCTTCCGCTTCATGGATCCATGAAGCAGAAGAAGATAACTCAAAACTAAAGCGTAGTCTTGCCCTGTCTTGCGAGCGAAATCAGTTTACGCTTGAAATAATGCGTTGGCAGGCACTCCACCGATCTAAACGTATGGGAGAATTTCTTGTCTTTGCTTAAATTAAAGCATAACATCTTCAAGCGTAAATTACTGTTTGCCGTGCAAAAGTTACGTTGCGTAAAAAAAATCTCACCTTGGTTGCAGACGGACGCCACTTCGTCGCTGCGGTCGGCGCACTCGGCATTCCCGTCGCACTTGCTGAAGGCTTCGATGCAGTCCTTGTTTGCGCACTGCCACCGGCGCGGACCGCATGCCCCACCTGCAACCGCGCTGATTTTGAGCCAATGGCGAAAATTTGGTCCCCGATTTAAATTCCATCATCATCGCTGATAGGCATCTACACTGTGAAAATTTCAATTGTCACTTGATGGCAATTTCAAGGCTAGTTGTCCTTACTACAAGGATTTCATCTAAACAATTGATGACATTGTTGTTACTATCACGCCCAGAGCTTTGATGAAAATCTCACCATTTTTTGACGCGATTGTCATCGTTTCAAAGTAATAAAAATAACATCCGCAATTTTGTCGTAAAGTGATAACATATTCTTACAGTGAACAGACCTTTAACGCTTTGAGTCAACGAAACATTCGCACCTCTCGCAACTTGTCCACAACCTAGCTCAGATTCAGTTGGGATTGAACTCTACAAGCGCCAAACGGGCCAATTTGACCCATTTTGAGTTTCGAACAGAAATTACGAAATTTTGAAAGTCAAACCTTCCATTCTTCTGACCTTTTTAAAATGACGAAATGGGCCTTAATTCGAAATCTGGACGTTCTCGTACCATTTTTGACGGAGATGATTTCCCTTTACGGCAATCATGCGGAGTAACAAATTTTCAGTGCTTAAAGCCAAGAATGAATCGGAGAATTATGCACTTCAAGCACATCACTTACCCGAAGATACAGCAGCTGCTGCTTGCAGCATCGCCAGGGGCACCAGACATCTCCAGAGAGCACGCCGCATGGCAGAGCTGTTGTTGCTGCGAGCTCTGAAGAGGAACTGAAGGCAGAACCGGTCCATCATCTCAGCGCGTCATTGGTTTTACCGGTTCTCCCAGCCTGCTGGCGGTGTGGCGGTGGCAGTGACGACGGGGAGTATTCCAACGAGAAGGTGCGCGTCAATGAACCAGGACAACGAGCCCCGAAGCGCTACCGTGAAGAGGAAAGTTTACCTTTTTTGATCACGTCGTTGAACGCGGGATCGCCGCGTGCCTGGTCTCCTGTTTCCGAATCTCCATATTCTCCAATCGGCATTGACGTTTGTGCACATGAACAGAAATCAATTAACAGATTTGATAAGACGAAATTGATATCAATTTTCTAAAACATTTAAAAATGTTAATACGCTAATTAATGGGCACAAACTTCAATACCTTATTACACAAATACTCGGTTCGAGTCCGAGAGTGAAGCGAAACACGCGAAGTTTGTGTGACAGCATTTAGGCGTTCAAATCCTCGAAAAGATCCTTTAATCATGTGTCTGAATGAAGGGCCTTCTTTTGTTTTGGGCTCAATTCGACTCCGAGAATTTTTCCGAGATTCTATTTGAGATTGTTAAGTGCCGCTTTGCAGTCCACTAGCCTATTTATACGTATTCTCGGTTCTGAAGCAATTCGGCCGACGAAGCACGGTGCAGTGGAATCCAAATAATGGTACTGCACGTCAGCTGAGTCCCATGTAGAGCTGCGTGAATGAGTACCAGCTGCCCAGGATACGGTGCAGAGTGTGGAGGGACAGCGACCCCAGCCAGCGGGCCTTGAGGTTGACGGGTCTGGATGCGCGCAGCATGATAGCCAGTACGTCCCTGTTGAAGGCCAGCCCCGCAGCGTCCTGGAACAGCCGGCTTGGCCACGGGCTGGCGTAGGCCATCAACAGCATCTGTTCACCCGCCTCCTGCACCAGGTCGCCCTCCAGCCCCATGATGGTGGGATAGGCGAAGGAGGTTGGCAGCAGGCCCACCACGTAGAAGTCGCGGTGGCCCTTGACCAACGAGGTGGTGGCCAGCAGCGCGAACGCCAGGGCGCCGGCGTGCATGTGGAACAGCGGCTCTTCGAACACTCGGCTGAAGCGGTCCACCACCTGGGGCACACACAATTGAGACCCTTCCAAACCTGGACTTTTGATCCGATCTCGCTCCGATGGGGTTTTCGGCAGATCGTTTTGATGGAAGGAACCCACAAACTCACTGAGATTCCAAACGCTATGAGAAAAGCACGTGTGCATACGTGTGCATACGTGCACCATGGTGCAATGCAGCTGAGATATCGCACCATACGTGCAATGCGATAGCCATATTGCACCTTACGCGCAATGCGTGCCGAAAAGGCCCTATGCTAATGAATGGGAATGGGGAGGCATTGCACATGAAGTGCAATGCTTTTGCATTGCACCAATTTACGCTATACCCATCGCGTTTGGATTCTCAGTGCAGAGCTTGGTTCATTTCTAAGCAACTACCAAGTGTTGTGTTTACACACTAAATTACTATGTAGGTTTTTCAGCGCGCCAATGCACGAAATTAAACATGCACTTCGCAACGCACGAATTTGTGCGTTACGAAGTGCATGTCTAATTTCGTGCATTGGCGCGCAGAAAAACCTACATAGTAATTTAGTGTGTAGGAGTTCCGACGGAGAACCCCTGCTGCTTTTGAGTTTGAGTTTGAGGGCCAATAATCTCGTGTTTGATTGTTGTTTATTTCATCCTATCAATAACGGCCCCAAACCGAAAAAAAATTATTTGTGATAACACAATAAATGTTCCGCCAAAAAAATAATCGACGAGATTTTGAGATATTTAATAAAACATAAAACTGCAACAATGCAAACTCTCTCTTCTGTTCACATTTTGCGAGAACCCTTCGAACACGAAATGTGCATCGCAACAAAATACAGACGTTCCACACTCTAAACTTCATAAAACCTCCTCACAAAACAAAAAAAAATAAAAACATGAAAAAAAAACACGTAACTAAAAAACGGTCTCCATATTTCAACAGTGAAAAAGGCGTGAAATGAAAAAAAATCCAATGCTAACGCATTGCACGGTGTTCCGGTTGTGGAAATCAATTTGAAGTCTGTCGTCTAAACGTTAATCACGTTAATGTTGCCGTTATTTACGTAACTTTGAATCCTACCGGTATTTTTACATCCCCAAACCTGATTCAGTTAACACAATGACCATCTCAGTCCATCTCGCGATCTCGCGATTTACAGTGCTCATGTTCGTCAAACGAAAGTCATCCGCGTTCCGAAACCACCCCTCCCGAGTTTGTAAAGTTTGTCAAACCAACCGTCGTGCTGGTTACAGAATTGAGGAAAGCATCACAAGAGATCCGCAGCCTTTAAGGGGAGGTTCCGGTGAAAATCTTGCCATTTTCCGAATGGATCCTACAGTCATAATTTGTTCGGAATATAAAATTTTTCATTGGGGAGACTAAAATTTGACTTTTAAAGGCACATGCCAGGCTGTAAACCCAGTCGAAGAGTCTTTTTGAGCCTATTTTGGCTGTATCTTAAAAAATCTCCTTGCGCATACTATTTTGTCGTAAAAGGTTGACCTTGACATTTTTCACTTCTTCGACTCATTTTCAAAAGATTCCGGCATGCATAGGAGGTGATGTCAGCAGGTATACAGTCCCACCAGGTATAATCCCACCAGGTATAATTCCCAACAGATATACACTATTTTATTTTATTTATCTATACGCGGATTCCCAGCAAGTATAAATCCCACCAGATATACACGTATTAATATTAGATTTTTTTGTGTCTCAGCAAGTACAATTCCCACCAGGTATACATCCCAATAGGTATAATTCTCACCAGGAATACATTAGAAGAAAAACAACTAAATGACTGATTACAATGGGGCATGATGACAGCTTCGACTCGAGCGCATTCCCTGCAGGAATTGCACTCCCAATGAAACTGCCTTCGCTAGCGGGTGGGTGATTCCGTGCGTAGGGGCCGTTTTAGCCACCTTAGAAAGTCACATAATCAATCTTGCTTGTTCGGCCGGGTACGCAACTCGCGTTTCAATCGTTATTCAAGTTGCGCTACTGTATACAGGGGCAGGAGCAACACTAGGTTCGTCCAATGTTTGTCTGTTTGCAGACGTCTTCTAAAGGAAAACGAATAAAGGTCCAACAGACGTTGCAAATTCGGCCATTAGATGAGAAGAAAATCTACCTGGGGCTTCGCGACTTTAGAAACAGAGAGGCGCTGTTCAACTAGCGTGCCGTGCAAATTAATTCCAAAGAAGGTAAATAAAATGGGTGTATATCTGCTGGGATTTATACTTGTTGGGAATCCGTGTAAATAACATTAAAATTAAATAGTGTATATCTGGTGGGAATTATACCTGGTGGGAATTATACCTGTTGGGATTATACCTGTTGGGATTATACCTGGTGGGACTGTATACCTGCTGGGGTAACCCCATGCAGAGCTCAAAACTTCCATTATATTATTAATTATTAGCTTTTTAAGCTGAAAAGTCCCTAAAATTTGTCTATTTTGTACATTTTTGATCAATTTTAGTGAAATGCTTGGTTAGAAAGCTTGCGAATAAAAATGCAATTGACATTTTGAGATGGGCATGCCGGCATTTTAAAAAAATGAATCGAAGAAGTGAAAAATGTCTAAGCCAACCTTTTACGACAAAATAGTATGCGCAAGAAGATTTTTAAAGTTACAGCCTAAATGGGAGAAAAAGGCTCTGCGACTGGATTCAGGGCATAGAATGTGCCTCCCCAATGAAAATTTTTAATAAATACTTGATAAGACATCAAATTTTTAACAAATTTTCACAGTGGGACCTATTTAGGAGAAAAATGCATTTTCACCAGAACCTCCCCTTAAAAGCAAGCCAAACAATCCAACCTCAGCAACAATGTAGGGGCAGTTTCAATGCGCGACTACTCGTGTTTTCAGCCTCGCGATTTTCGAAAGGGCGCAGACGCCGAGAAAATTGTTGCCAACCCCCGAAAATTAATTTATTGCGTCTTTTCTGCTACGAACTTTTTACTGACATACTTCAAAGATGTTCCAATGTCGGGACACCGTGCGATGCGTTAGCATTGGCATTTTCGAATTTCACGGCGTTTTTATTTCTTTTTATCAGCGACTTTAAATTTTGACAGTTGGTACGATGGCACCGTGTCGTTGCCATGGAGACTATTTTTTCATGTTTTAACCATTTTCTCAGAGCACAGACGATTTCTTGTCACTTTGATGAGGCAGGAGGTTTAGATTTGAGGAGTGGCACATTTTCTCTTTGAAACGTTTCTGGAAAATGTGAACGGATAAGGGTGCTTGATTGTTGCAAATTTATGTTTTAGTCGTTCACGTTAAATTCTCACGATAAATTTTTGAAATTTTCAGGAATTTTTATTTGATTATGATAACGAGTAATTTGGCGGGATCCATTTTCCAATCAGAGGGTACCGGAAAAAAAATAAGAATCTGAGCCGTCAAAAACAATAGGGGTCCTCCTTCGTCGGAACCCCTAAAAAAAAACTCATGCACTCAATTCAATGATCAATGAAAATAGACTTCTGGCCAATGAATGTAGCATGAAAATACACGTCGAAATTAATATATTGATGTCTCCAACTGTGTGCCTACACGTTCGAAATTTCACTTCCCGGAACACCATGCATTTGCATTGATTTTTTTTTTTAAGTTTCTTTTTTCACGCACCAGAAGAAGGGCGCGGTGGTCGTCCAGCACCGAGTGCAGCTGCGCGCGGCAGTGGGCATTCTTGACAGCGAGCGCCAAGGTGCGGAGCAACGCAGCGGACACCAGTGCTAGCGTCACATGCACTACCTGGCACACACAGTGTATTTGGAATAAATATTAGGTAGTACATACCATGCACGCAACATTTACTGTAGACATGGGCATCTTGCCGATTTAGGTGTGTAATAGGTGTAAGACAATGAGTCAACGTAAGTTTGGAAAAGATTGTTCCAGGTTTGCACACTAAATGTTTATGTACTTTTATTGTCCATAGCTATGGCCGTTTTTGTGCATTCGGAAGTTTTGTACAAATTTATACATAAATAAGGGACAATTTTTCCATATTGTGCCTAAGTATTTTCAAAATTGTACCTAAGTTATGAACAAATTTGTACATAACTTCAGTATACACAAAAACGGCCATAGTAATGGACATAAAGTCCATAAGCATTTAGTGTGTGATGCACGGGTAGCTTTAAAAATTGCTGACCCACAATTAGTTCCAGAAATCAATTGTGGGCTAAAACAGCCGTATAGCTCAGTAAACGAGGGTGACAGACCTTGCGGCTATGCTGCAAAACGTAGTCAAGGGATCATTTTTAAACGTCTTACTGCTACTTTGGCTACTTGTTCAACATAAATATTTTAAATATGCATTTTTCAAAAAAGTGACCCACAATCGACTTTTTACCTTCGTGTGAGGGCGTTAATCCTTCACTGTGCCAAAAAGCTACAGGAAATTCTGTAATCAACTTGTGATAATATCCGTAGCCCCCTTGTCAATATTCTCCGCAGGACCGTGCAGTCTTATGGAAGACTACTTAATCCTACGGAGAACACTGTGAGATCCTACGGAAAATACTATGGGGTCCTGCGGAGAATCTTGGCGAAAAAAAGAAGAGACTTTTTTGAAGCTTGCCACAGTATTTGAGGCAACACTTCTAGTGTTGTTGGTTTACAGCGAGTACAAGCAATGGTCATCGACCGAAAGGAATGACAACTAAAGCAGAGAAAGTGAGTGAAGTCAATGATGTTTTGGCATCTTCCCTTAAAAATCTTGTTCGTCATGACTTTGTATGTCGTCAACAATCTGAGTTCATCAAATTCATGAAAGACAATCTTAAAAGCTCTACAGCCCTCATACTTATGGATTTTAGTATGAAATAATTATTCTTCTGTTGTTTAAGATGCTGCTCAAAAGCACCATTGGTCAATGAAAGGTGTAACAAAACATCCAGTGGTTATTTATTTGAAAGATCCAGTTGATAGTGGCAAACTTATATCAAAGAGCTTGTGCTTCTGAGGATTAAGCATGTGTGACCCAACCAGGTGCGACTGTATCAAGAAAAAACAATGAAGTACGAACATGAAAATTTTCCTTCAACTGAGGTTGTGTACTTGACAGATGGGTGCGCAGCGCAGTACAAAAATTGCACTAGCATGTTCAAACTTTGCCAACATGAAAAGCTCTATTTTGTGGGATTAAAGGTAGTTGGTGCTTTTATGCCACTTCTCACGGATAATCTCCATATGACGGAATTTGAGGCACTGTCAAAACCATAGTTGCAATGGTAAGCTTGCAACATCCATCGTCCAGGTTGAGTCAAAAATTTTTGTGACTTTGGTTACTGACTTTGATGCAGAAAACTTGGAAGCAGAAGTCTCCCTTTAGGCACCACTCTTACCAGCAACCGTTTCCTCATTTTTTGAAAACATCTTGGGCTGCAAAGCCCCAGTTCATGACATTATTTGTAATATTGATTTAGTAGACTTGACTATCTCCAAGTTTCAGCTGGCAAGTCAACATATTTCAGTAATAAGAAAACTTGCTCGACGTAAAAGATCTACCATTTAGAAAATTTAATTTGTAACTTTGAATACACTGATAAGGGTGTAAAAATGATTCAAAATGTGACAAATTTTCATACACTGTAAAAAATATGTTGTGAATTTACGACGGAATATTTTCCGAAGGGTTTTTGGGAATGTCCAAAAGTGCACTGTAAATGTTTCTTTCCTACGGGAACTTTTGTAAGTCAACGTATGTTCGTCGTTAATTTACGAAGGTTCTTTGTAAATTTACGAAGAAAAATCGTAAATTTACAAAATCTGTTGTAAATTTACGAAGGGCTTCGTAAATTTACGATGGGCTTCGTTAATCTACGACGGGTCTTCGTAAATCTACAGCGGACCTTCGTAAATAAACGAAGGAAGTGTTGGCAATTTTTTTGCCGAAGGATCCGTCGTTAATTCCAGACGTATAATTACGAAGAATCTCTGTATATGAACGAAGGTTCTTTGTTTGTAAACGAAGGTTCCCTGTAAATTTACGAAGGATCTTTGTAGATTTACGAAGGTAATTCGTAAATTTCCATTGTGATTGTAAAATCAGCAGAGATTTTTCAAAAAATTAACGAAGGTTTTTGTAAATATACGAAGAGCTTCGTAAATTAACGAAGGAACCGTTGGCAATTATTTTGCCGAAGGGTCCGTCGTTTATTCCGGATATTAACTTTTACAGTGTAGTATGTTAAAAATATAAAATAAACTGCAAAAATGTTTTTAGGTCTTTAACCAACCCTGTTGATCCTCCTCAAGTAGAATATCAGACTGGTCAAATGCCATCAAGGGCACAGAGGCTGTCAGGTATTGGAGAATGGGCGAGGGGTGAGCAGGGAGGAAGAGGGTGGGGGAGGAGTGAGCTGAGAGAAAAAGGGCGGGGGAGGAAGGGTCAAAGAGGAAAAAGGACGAGGGAGGGGGGGGGGAGCAGGGTCCAGGCGCAGGGAAGGCATAGAAGAGCCGAGGCTGCACAAGTGTAAGAGCGGTTGCCTACCGCACGGCGCGCACAGCGCCGCACACAATTGATGAAAGTCGACGAAATTCACTAAAATTTGCTCGCTTTTTCGCGCTGTGGCGTCTGATTCAGACCTATATCCAACTTTTTCGAGCCGCAGTTGCTTAGAGGAAGTCTTAAGGAACATTTTCCACTACAAGGAAGTTAAAGTTTAGACCCGCTTGCCATTTTTGCTTTGAAGTTAAGCCCCCAAAAGAATTAAATTTTACGTTTGAAATCAATTTTTGACCACTACACTCGATCGTAGGTAACTTTGGGCGACGGATTCGGATTCCTTGTTCATTTTGACGAGAAATATGATGATCTCGGCCTTCTGGGTCAAAGAGTTTCGAAGCAGGACGAACACTGTTATTTCACTTGCGATACAGACCGCACTTTCTGCGCAATACAAATTTCATCGCACTTTTCTGTGATGATCATTGCTAAAAGGTGTGATGAGCTACAGTATCGCAGAATTTTGCAATGATCATTGCAAAAAACTGCAATGATTCCAGATTTTGCGTTGTCATCATCGCAGTGTTTTGCAATAATTCCGATTTTCATTGCAGAAAGTTGCTATGATCATTGCAGAATGTTGTGCGATACAGAAGTCATTGCTTCTCAGGAGCAATGATTCGTGGGAATCACATTTCGGATATCATCGCACGTTTTTGTGTTGAAAGTATTGCAACTTGGATAACAGTGAATTCGCGCAAAAAGAAATTTTGGAGAAAATTTTCAAATGCGATATCTCCGGAAGTATTCATGATTCGATCTTAAAAACTTAGGGGCATCTTACCGTAGTGGTAGGTATCATTTGAGCACACAAGGGACGAATTCGGCGATGGTCACCTACGCGGCCTGCTAATTGGGTCAGGAATGCCCCAATTGCAAGACAGCCCCAATTGCAAGACAAATATGGGTAATTTCGATCATGAACCCTTTATTTGAATCCCTTATCACAGAGTAGTGCTTCACTCATTGCTTGCGCGGTCTGGCGTACACCCGAGGGGTCGTCAACTCCTATCGCGCATGTACGAAGTAATACAGTAATATATGGTAATATACGTCCCATATTACCGTTTTTTAGCTGAATTTTCATACGACCTATGCTTTGAGTAGTTTATTCGGTAATATTTACGAACTTTAAGCGGTAAAATAGGAGTAATATAAAAGTATTATGGATCCTGTGTACGAAGACGAAGTTATATGCAAGCTGATGACCCCTCGCGTACACCTACTACCTTACTCTAGCCGTTCTAACATTCAGTGATAAATTCCCGCGTGCAGTTTTCAAGCCTTGCCTGCAGCCCCGCGACAGAAAAGCCGGAGCAGGTGATGGCCAGAGACTGGAGTCCGTACTGCGACACGAACAGTACCCAGTCCTGCCAGGTGCCGGTCGAGCCGGGCAGGTACATGTAGCTGAGGGTAAGGCGTCCGGTCACGAGGGGCCACGACACTATGAACACGAGAGCCACGGGGACGTTCAGCGCCAGGGCCGAGCGCCCCAGTGAGATGAGGAACGCCGTCCGCCGCGCGTACGTCTGCAGGATGATACCACGGATGTCAGCTCTCAGCCAGCACACAAAACTGTAGTGTGTGCAAAGTACACTCTTGCGAACGCATGCTTACAAACGCATGCTTCGGGGCCAATAGAGATGGGGAATATGATATCGATATTTTCCAAACGATATATCGAAATTTTGCATCAATATTTTTCCATACGATATTATCGATAATCGACACTAAAGACCCTTTATCGTATACAACCGATATATGTGCATTTTAGGCATTTTCAGCAGGTAGTTGACGCTCAAACATACGAATTTTGAGGCTAACTCTTGTCTTCAGACCTTAAAAATGCCAAATTTTGCAGATTTTGAGGTATTTTATTGAAAAGTAGAGTCACACAACTGTCTTAGCCGTGCTTATTAGTCAGGGAAGGCTTGATTTTGCAGGATTTCCCGCTCTAAAACGGCTTATACGATATTTTCTCGATATATCGGTTTATCGATATTTTCTTTCTGATATATCGACTATCGATATATCGTAATGATTTAATATCGATATTTTTGATATCGATATATTTCTATGCGATGCCCATCTCTAGCCTCTAAGTGTAAAGGGTCAAGGCCGGGTAGAACCGAGCACCTCAGGGGTTTGGTAAAATCGGACATCGAATTTTTAGGCTTATTTCCTTACTTTGAGACAAACTTATGCTGTTGCGCGCTTAAGTATACCTACATACCCTATATGGTTCCAATACACTGTGGCAAAAAGCTGCGGAAAATTCTGTAATCAGCTACACTGTTAAAAATAATCGTAAATTTACGACATTTTGTAGAACAATTATGCCGTTTTAAAACGACATATTTTCTTACGACTCAAGTCGTAAACATACGACTTGAGTCGTAAATGTACGACAGATTTGTCGCTAATTTTGGTAGCGACACGTTTCGTTTTCAAACGAATTATGTCGTAATTTTACGACTTAATCGTAAGTTTACGAACAGTCGTAAATTATCTTTGGAACATGTCGTGCAGTTATGACTTAAGTCATACATTTACGACTCTTGTCGTAAATTTGCGTTATGAATCGTAAATGAACGACGCAAATCGTAAATAAGTGAGCAAAATTGTAACTTTTCACCAACTTTCCGGGGATTTCAGGTGTCAAAATATGTAATTGCGATTACGACATTGTCGTAGAGAAATAATTTTTTAGTCGTTCAGTTACGACGAAGTAGTTTCAGAACGATTTCCGTCGCTATGAAAATTAGCAACTTTTTGTCGCTAATTTACGACAGAATTTCTAACAGTGTATGTTGTAATTCTCTGTAGCCATCTTGTCAATTCTCTTCGTACGACCTTAGAGTATTCTCCGTACGGTCCTGCGGAGAATATTGATAAGAGGGCTACAATGAATCTTGGCAAAAAATTGACGGAATTTTCTGTACCTTTTAGAGACATTGTAATCGTGTAATCAGTGGAGAGTATTTCCGTGTATCAGAGTGTGACTGTTCAGTCTGAAGTAGGCTAACCCAGCACTTTTGTGCGTGACAAAAGATGCCGTCCGTAAGCGGTTTACAGTGAAAATCCCGTCGTTAATTCTGGATTTTCAGAGATTTTCCTTGAAGGAACGGTCTCTGGAATCGCCATCGCTGGGAAAGTATTGAAACCTGGGTGGAAAATGTGGAAACATGCAATTTCACCAACGCCACTTACAATCTGGTGAAAATTTAAATACTCACACCTCAGGAACTACTCGTTCGATCAACTTAATATTTTGCACAGCATATTTTCTCATGCCAAAAAATTGCATTTTATTCTGAAATGGTGACCTATGTAAGTGGTCGAACTAGCATGGAACGCTCCTATAGTTTCCAGCGAGGAGACCAATCACTGCCATCGCCGGCTACCTGGTCCTGGAGCTGCCGCTCAAGCCGGGCCGTCAGCACGATAAGGTCCTCGATGAGTTCGCGCAGCAGGTGGCGGTCGCGCGCCCAGAAGCGCTGGTAGCACGCGCCGGTCAGCACCATGGAGGCGTTCATGACGGAGAGCGTGCTGCGGTGTGTGCCCAGGTGCGCCACGGCGTCGAGCAGGCACTGCGCGCCCAGGAGCGCGCTCAGCAACGCCGTCACGTTGCCGCCGTGGAACACGATCCACGCGCTGTGGGCCAGCCGGGCAGCACCTACGCGCGCCGCACCGTCCTCTGCATGCGTGAAAGAACACTGAAAAAGTTAATGTTCGCATCCTTCCGAAAAAAAAAAAAATTGCCAACGGTTCTTTCGTTAATTTACGAAATTCTGCTTATAAAAACCTTCGTAAATTCTTAGGAGGACCTCTGTCGATTTTCAGAAGCACTATGGAAATTCACGATGCACCTTCATGATGAATCTTAACGGTTTTTAGTGTGCTGGTAACGAAAATCACTTCCATTGACCCCAGACCTACATATCACTAAATATGAGCCCATAAGTTGCACATTTCGTCTACTCAAGCAAAGTCCGAAGTGCTCAAACTTTGTCAATTCACATCGCTCTGCCACACTACACGCCCAACGGCGCGTACCCCTAGTTTAGCAGTTTACAACCTTTTCCAGCAAGGACAGTTAATAAACCGCCAAAGACTTCGACCCACGCTGCAACAACCAGCCCCGACCCTTTGCAGAACCAGTTCAAACGAGAAACCCCATCCCCTTCTCCCGGGGCAACTTTTCGGGTCAAGCACTTGTTGGGGATCAAGGACTGTAGACCCCCGGCTACCATCAGGGCTAGCTCGGGAGCGAACCAAGGCCTGGGCTGATGTGACATCTAGACAGAATGGAACATAACGTAATTAGGACATAATGACTACAGTCGCTTCTCAGACTTCCAGGCGATCCATTTGCATCTTCAATGACCAGGGCGCGGCTTTTCTTCAGTAAATAAATCAGTTGACACCGGGCGCGTGCCCAGGGGGTGGTTACGCAGGTCATGAACCTCCGTCGGGCTTACAGTATGGGTAGCCTGAAGATAGGCAAACCGCCGCACATATCAGCCTGAAGGTAGGCAGCTGCCCTCGGATGATGCGCTGTACCCCCGTGCTGAGCCCGCGCACGCCCAGATTGTGCCCGGGTTGGCTCAAGCTGTGCCCGTCGTAATTTTTTTTGACTGGGGCCCCTGGCTAGTATGAAGTCAGATTCATTGAATCACAATCCATACCCATGGTCTTCAAGGCGAGCAGCATCGCACGCTGCAGCTGTCCCACATCGCCATCTTGGAGGCCGTGCTGCAGCTGTCCCACATCGCCATCCAGGAGGCCGTGCTGCAGCTGTCCCACATCGCCGTCCTGAAGGCCGTCCTGCAGCTGTCCCACATCGCCATCCTGGAGGCCGTGCTGCAACTGTCCCAAATCGCCATCCTGGAGGCCGTGCTGCAACTGTCTCAAATCGCCATCCTGGAGGCCGTGCTGCAACTGTCCCAAATCGCCATCCTGGAGGCCGTGCTGCAACTGTCCCAAATCGCCATCCTGGAGGCCGTGCCGCATGTGAGGCCGCTGACGACGCGCCCAGCGCCCTGGCGTGGCCATGACGGAAGAGTGAATGGTGTGGGGCCCGGTACCGCACACTACCACCCCTGAAGGCCGCCCCTTCATCCAGCGTTAATTATCGGCCCAGACGACTTGGCCACGAAGCGTAAATCTTTCAGCTCGGGAACTCAATTGTTTCAGCGCAAGGAGCGTCAACAGGAGGTCCAATGCTGAACAAAGGACAAAAAGTCAATATGGAGAGAAAAAAGGTCAATACGAGTCTGGGAGTGTACGCTTGAAATGAAGCATACTATGGAAATTCCCCCATGCATTCAGATAGGGGGAATCTTGGCGCATGAGCCTGTTACACTTGATTCCAAGCGAGCGTAAACTGATTGCGCTTGAAAACAGAGGGTAATACTACGCTTTAGTTTGACCACTGTTGATCTTCTCCGAAAGACCCTTAACTTCCGCATGTATCCGTAGCAGATCAAATCATTATTTCTCAATCAGTTTAACACAAGCGAGCCAAATCTGTCACCTGGCACGAAAACCTGGAAGATAATACTTTCTACAAATGCCAAAAGCTAAGACAGAGTGAAAAGCAGGGCTACACAGACTGGACAGAGACAATTAAGGGACTTGATATTCTGTCAAGCGCCTGGTAATTGAGAAGGAAACGCACCCACTACACTGAGGAAACCTTACAAACTATTTCAGACGTTACGAGATCAGGCAAAGCAGTTTGCTGTAACAAAGTATTTTGAGCATACGTACGCCTACAAAGAAAATACTTCGTAAATAAATAACTATTTCTG